AGATTTGCTATAGACTAAGAAAATGAGCGTTCGGTCCTCCTCTTCACAGCAGAACAATAATTTAGTCATACTTTTGCCTGATGGCACATAACTGAGTCCTTTTTTTTCTTTCCTGCTATGATTATTTAGTTGCACACTTTCATCCTTGAGGAAAAGGCTTTTCTCAATCATTTGAAAGAGTTACTTTACACTATTAATGGTCACATTTCACAATGGCCAGTTTTGTAAGCAATAAAGACTCACAGTGAATGCTTTATGGACAAATAGCTGTGCACAAAGATTAATACATAGAGTGTTTGAAAATGTGTAGTTAATGTAGAAGAGTGGTGTGTTAGTTTATTTGCATATATAAGTGCAATGTTATTTGGAAATAGATATGACATGCTATTTTTACTCATTTTTGTCAAAGGCATTAATAGATTTTCTTAAAATCTGCATTTTCATCTTGTATCCCCAAATTGTTGCCTTTTTCCCCCCTTAGAAAATTTACAGAAAACCTTGAAACCATTGTTTTAGTTGTCAAAGCCCCAGTACGACAATTTTGGGAATCCAAAATGTAATGGCTTGGACTTTGTACTATTGACTTAACATTTCAAGCTTGTATTTAATATAACAAAAAATTTTAAAAATCTGCATTTTCATTATAGAATTAGCATGCTTTCAGTACTTGTTTTTGAGTTAGGTCTGGAAAGTACAATTACCTGGTTAAAGTTTGTGGGCATTTCCAATTTTAATTGCCATCCTGGGTTTTCATGTTGTTCCAATGTTCATATTTACCAGAAACATACAAAATTATTGTTTTTTACTACCCTCTTGTCAGTATTCATTCAACAGGAGTTTAACGCAGAGCCTCTAGTTACCTGAACCCTGGACACCTAATGGTGAACAATATGACACCTTTCAACTTTTGTTGTTCAACCTGCAGTCCAATTTGTGAGACAAACAGGAGTCATATGACTGCACAGAGGTGAAGTTATAACCACGATATATAAAGCCAAATAGAAGCCTCTGCTTAATGTCAGTGGTGGATGTACACTGTACTGGGTTCTGTACTTTATAACATGTGGAAACTCTTTCAAAGTTAATGTTGACACTTAAGAAAAAAGTCACACCTGTGGTGAACGTGCAGCAGAAGACTCCGACCTGCTCTGAGGTGTTAGGACCGGGCTCCAGAGGAATGAAGTGTTGCTGGAGCCAGACTTGAGGAGGAGGCAGAGGATGTCATCAGGCAGGGGTGTGTGCAAGGGTGTGCTCACCTGCACAGGTGAGCAAGGGGAATTCTTATACAGGTGGGAACCCTTGAGATGAGAAAGGCAGCACAAACATAATTGAGGAGTGTCAGAGAGCCCTTGAAGGCAGCCCACAGTGATCCAGCAGGCTGCAGTCAGCAAGGCTGGCAGAGAAGATGGAGCTGTGTTGTGGTGGGGGTGCATTCACAATTCCTAGGTGGAGAGGTGTTGCCACCTATTTCCAGATCTGAGGTATGGGAACAGGCAGACTACAGGGGAGAGTACCACCCAGGAGAGGTGTCGAGGGGCTGAGCTGCGGCTGGCAGAGAAAATAGAAAGGGGGGGGGACATTTTGAAGAAGCATCTATGGGAACTGGGCAGCTTACCAGGGGGGATAAAAAGACAGCCGTTGTGTTGCCCTGAGTGGACTGATACTGTTAACAGAAATATTAAGGAGGCGAAACATCCTTTGGCCGAAGTGGTAGAGATAGGAGAATTCAAGTAAAAATGGTGCTGGGGAAAGTTTTAAACTCACGGTGCTGAAACTGATTTTTGGTAAGGGTTTCATACAGAGAGTTGTCGGACATGTGGCAAATGGCAGTGTAGACTGGCTCTTAGAAGAGGTTTCCAAGAACTTGGATCCTTCTATTGTTTGCGTTTGTACTCTATTTCCAAGACTCAGCTCTGAATATGAAGGATTTGGGTTTACACAGCTGTGCACAATTGTGAAATATTGCCTTTTAAACAGATTGGTTCGCATTTGACCTTAAAATTTTAAGATGTTTCATTTATTCTATTTATAGAGGCTGCATAATGTAGAAGTTAAGTGAATAGGATCCAGAGCTGAGTGCTCATCTTATTTTAACATTTTCAACATTTATTTATTTAAAGGGCCCAGATGGGGCGGGAGAGGTGTCATGGAGGTGGGGGTAGCTGGGAAGAGAGATCATCAGTCTTCTGGTTCACTTCCCAAAAGCCCACAACAGCAGGGGCTGGGCTAGGCTGCAGCCAGGAGCCAGCAACTCCACCCAGGGCCACCTACGTGGGTGGCAGTAACTCAAGTGCTTGGGCCATCACCTGCTACCTCCCAGTGTATTAGCAGGAAGCTAATGGAAGAGGATGCGGGGTCATGGTGCTCTGACAGGATGCAATGCAGGCGTCCCAAGCAGGTGTCCCTGTGCTACAAGCCCACCTCAGTGCTCCTCTTTAAACCTTAGCTTTGTACTTCATAACCATGCCCCCTATGTTAAATGAATTATCCTGCATCTCCGTTTCTTCTTCTTCAAAGTGGGCTTCCTATTACTTAGGCTTGAAGTGAGGATTCAGTGAGCTAGTCATGGAATGTTCTTAGAATAGTGCCTGGCACCCAAGGAGAACACAAGCAGTATTTATGATTTCTGAAAATAAAAAGCAAATATTGTGAAATTGGATAAACCAAAATCAACTTGGTTTTTGTCTACTTGTCATTAAGAGTTCAAAATCATAAACTGTTGTTTCCTTGTTACTGTTGGTCAGACCGGAAGCCTGTTGGAGGGCTCTGTGTGAGTGTGGGGGCCGGGGAGTGGGTCTGTGCCTTTTTACAGTCTTGCTGTTCTAGGAAATTCAGCTCCACAAGACCCAGGACCTAAAGAGTAGGGCAACTTACACATAAGTGATGCTACAACATGACAGAAAATTGTCAGTTTCAGGAATTCTGTATGTTTTCCCAGCAATTAAGGCATTTTCCCTTCTACTTTTTCCTCTTCTACTCACTTGTGTTCAATGAAGAGCATAAATGAGTTCCAGCAGAACTAAGAGGGTCTCATGTCTTAAAGAGGGTTAACAATCCAAGTCTTCCCAGATACACACAAAATAAGGCTCAGTGGTAAATTTTTTTTATCACAATACCCATGTTAGAATTAACTGATTTTGAAATCTTTATACCAAAGAGTAAAGATGATAATAAAATGATTCTAATAATAGCTTAGGCATTTCAGTTCAAACTCCAAGTCTTTTAAAAACTTCTACAAGCTGATATGTTAGTCACTCTAACAATGTTGGAGCATTTTTTTTTAAATCATTTTTTTCTGTCACATTCATCAATTTCATAGAAGAAGTTCAAACATCTAGGAATAAGTCTTCTGATGCTGTGATATTCATGCATTATTTTCCAGAAGGTCCCCCCCATTGAAATATCATCTATGAAGCAATCTGTGTACAGTGGTGTCGTTTTTCAAACTTTTAATTTTACGATGAGCTTAGAAACCGATTTTAGATTGCTTTTTCATTTCTAATTATCGTAGGATAGTTGTTTTTTTCTACAGCTTTTTCTTAGTTTTGCATTGGTATGTTTTGGGTCCACCTGTTTGCAAGTCTATGATTTTCCTGTTGATTCCAGGATACTGGTTTCATCATTCAGTGCAAACTCGTACTGGTTTGCCAGTATAATCATATTTGCATGTCCCATTCAGTTCCTGAGGAGAGAAGCCAGTTGCCATAGTGAGAATTACCATGTCCCGCCTCAGATCCAGTCCTGAGATGGAGATGGCCTTAGAAGAACCTACATATCGATGCATATTTCCAAGTAGGACAGCTGGCTCTTTGTGAAGCACTAGCTTACTGGAGTGGTTCTCTTCTGTCTCATCCAGTGAAAATCTATTGCCGCATGACTTCCTTTGTGTTAGAATGAACTTCCACTGCCTGCTACCTCATGCCTGTTGTCCAAGAGTCAGATTCTATATTACATACTTTCTCTGTCCTTTTTAGGTATTAAAATTAATAGGTTTATCTGCTAAATTTGTCTCATCTATCCCGATTATTGCCTTAGATTGAGTCTGGCTGTAAATCTCTGTTCCCTGAGTTCCAAAGCCTGGAACTGCATTTTTCCCTGTGGATCACGTCCAGGCATCTTGGATGCTTCCAGGGGAGTTAGGAGGACCCTGCAGATGTCCAGGGCATAGTTGCCAAATTGGTGCTTTTCTAAAACTAGAATATTCAAATGTTGTTATGAATCTAAAAACTTAGATTTTTCACAATTTCGGGGTACTTGTCAATTTAAGTAAAAGGAGAACTCCATTTTAAACAGCCTTTGATGGAAATCAAGTTTCGAGAGTCAGAAGTTTGCAAAACTCCTATTCTGCCATCCTTTGTAATATCAACGCACATTAATTATTTTACAGTTTAATGGTGAAACAAATAGCTTAGTGTGATAGGTTTAATAAGTATATATACATGAATATCTGTTTCATAAAATGGTGCTTTTTTATAAAGATTTATTTATTTGAAAGTCAGAGTTGAGAAGTAGAGAGAAGTAGAGCAGAGAGAAATCTTCCATCTGCTGGTTCACTCCCTCAATGTCTGTATTGGCTGGAGCTGCACCGATCCAAAGCCAGGAGCCAGGAGCTTCATCTGGGTCTCCCATGTGGGTACAGGGGCCCAAGTATTTGGGCCATCTTCTACTGCTTTCCCTGGAAATAGCAGAGAGTTGGATCAAAAGTGGAGCAGCTGGGACTCGAACTGGTGTCCATATGGGATGCCAGCACTACAGGCAGCAGCTTTACCTGCTACGCCACAGGACCGGCCCCAAGATGATCTATTTCTGTAGCTGGTTACCACATATTCCTTACTGTCCCTAGTTGGTATCCTCCAAGCTCAATAAAAACACAAGAGGAACCTGAGCCACATAAAATGTCATGTCTGCAAAATGTCCTTTTCTGACAAAGAAAAAATAATGTAGTAGAGACTGTCTCTGGATACACTGTGAGGCTTACGATGGCTGTGTTTGCCTTTCAGATCCCCAGCTCAAGGGCATAGTGACCAGGTTATATTGCAGGCAAGGCTACTACTTGCAAATGCACCCCGATGGAGCTCTCGACGGAACCAAGGATGACAGCACCAATTCCAGTAAGTGCAACCACAGGACATCCCTGACCACACTGCTACATAAATGACCTTTTCAGATACCACAGCAAACTTTTGCTTATGTTGGGTCACTAACATGGCATTGCAGTTGTTCTTCAACCACATTCATGGAAAGAGTAACGGAGAAACGAGAAACATTTTTTAAGATAATTATAAGTTAATGTTTTTATTTTTTAAAAAGTTGGAAATTTTATTTTAATCATAGAAATCAAGTATGTTACTATATTCAGATGAAAACTTATTACATGTTTACCTTGGAAGTTTCAATTTTATAAGCCAATAGATTCTGAATAATACTTGCAGAAATTCAAGAACTACAGGATTAAGTTGTCTCAAGTAATAGAAACATAATTTTATAAATTCCTTGCATTTAACAAGAAAAAGATGTTTCCTATAGGTAGAACAAGAAGGTTATATACTTTTTAAAAAAAAAAAAAATCAGGTCTGTGCCGGCGCCACGGCTTACAGGCTAATCCTCCACCTGTGGTGCCGGCACCCCGGGTTCTAGTCCTGGTTGGGGCGCCAGATTCTGTCCTGGTTGCTCCTCTTCCAGTCCAGCCCTCTGCTGTGGCCCAGGAAGGCACTGGAGGATGGCCCAAGTGCTTGGGCCCTGCACCCGCATGGGAGACCAAGAGGAGGCGCCTGGCTCCTGCCTTCAGATCGGCGCAGCGCACCATCTGTGGCAGCCATTTGGGGGGTGAACCAATGGAAGGAAGACCTTTCTCTCTGTCTCTCTCTCACTGTTTAACACTACCTGTCAAAAAAATCATGTCTGTATTTTTCTTAAGTATAAAATCCACATCTTCTATTCATATATATCTTCTTTCTGCTGTTTATTTGCATTTTCTGACTGGTGACCCTCCTTACTAACATCTACCATAGCATAGTTATTCTAAAATAGACAAAATTATCTCTGCTTAGAAGGGTTACTGAAAAGCAAACTCTACTTCTATTAGGCATATTTAATCCTCGGTTATATTGCTAGTGATTCGGGGTAGATAGAAACACTTCTACACCTTTAATATGTATTCAGATGTAGGACATCACTTTAAGAAATGAAAGGAAGATTTGAGTACATATAAACAATTATAGCCACTTGCTGTTTTAAATGCTAGCAACCAAATTTTCAGTAACACTAATTTTCAGAGCAGTTAATGATACAAAGTATTATTTGCATTTGATATTATGTAAAGGATTGATATTTTCCCGTTGTGTTTACTTTTTTGGTCTTTAATTTTTTTTTTTTTTGAGACAGGGTAAAACGGACACAGACACATGTACACATGTTCGCATCCTCTGGTTCATCTGGTTACTCACCTAATGTTCTAGAGCCAGGAACTCAATCCAGGTCTCCCGTGTGGATAACAGTAACCCAAAAATTTGAATTGGCACCTGCTCCCTCTAAGGTCCACATTAGCAATAAGCTGGTATCAGGAGCAGAGCTGAGACTCCAACACAGCTCTGAGATAGGGGATGTGTGCACCTCGAGTGGTGTCTTAACTGCGAGACCAGCCTTAGACCCACTTCAGTTTCTTTTTAATTTTGTTGATCTACATTTTTCCTCCTTTTAAATTTCTTCCTGTCTATGATACCCACCCTTTTAGTTTTAACATCTTTCCAGCCATATTTGCTCCTTGGTTTATTTGTACTTCATCTTCTCTTTTGAATTAGGAAAAAAGAAGGTAAACCTATTTGGACACATGGAAGAAAGACGAGTCTTGTTTTTGTTAAGACCTATGTCAGGCATGCTTCCTTGTTGATTTTCTGATTAGGCTGGACCTTTAAAAAGTATCTTGACCAATTTGACCTACAAAAGAGGGCAATTTCTTATAGTTTGATGTAATATAAAACTATCTGCCCATTTTCTTCTCCTGTCTTATTCTGTACCCATCCTCTGACAAAGGGCATTTCTGTTGTGTGTTGCAGTTCTGAGGGTCCGGGACCTTAAAGGTTCCTAAGCTCTGACATCTGTAGTGCTCTCTGTCTTTCAGTGTCCAGAGTTTAACAGCCCAGGAACTGACGCTCTGTAGTTCTGATCAGTCAGTGAGCTATGACACTCAGATCTATCATCCTAGAGACTGGTGGCAACCAAATGATGGCAAAAGCTGTCAAGAAAGGAAACCACTCCAACTGTATGAGGATAATGCTTCATTAGATGGCTTAGCAAATTCATTTCCTTCAGCAAATGCTTCATGAATGTTTGGCCTGGGTTTTAGCTGTTTATTTACTTGATATTTTCTCATATCATGCTAATTGATAACCTTTAACAATGAGCATCAAGACCACATCAAATAAATAGTCTTTTTGAAGCATATTGCTTTGGAGTTGAGTAAAGCAGTAATGTATGTTCTAAATCATGGGAGTGTAGGTGTAGAAGCTCTGTGCCTCCACACAGTCAGGACTGATTATGGGAATAATAGTTAACAATATACTAGAAGCTGAGATACTAAAAGACGCTTGAGCATCTGGGACTCTCCCTCTCCTGTACCTGTACCGGACATTGTAGGTAGCTCAGGAAATCCCCTGTGGCCTCCCAGTGCTGGTGAGGTCAGTCCTGGGAATGACACAGGACAGGAGTCTTGGCATAAAAGCAAATTGGAACCAAATCCTAGTGCCCCACTCCAGAGTTGTAATTCCCTATGCAAAGAGCTGGCCCACAGCTTCCTTTCTGATACATCACATGGCATTGTATGTGCCCTGAAAGCCATCAGGTTAGTTTTATTACTATTTCAACACTTGCCAAGATGTAAAGAGGTCGAGATAAAGATTCTGTTCTCAAAAGACTATATGAATTATATCACGTAAATTTAGTACATTTTGGAAGGATTATAGTAGATTGATAAAAGCAATGGAAATTACTAATTAACTCTTCTTTTGTGTACCAAAACCTTTTAAAATTGTAAAATGCCACCTTTAAGATGAGTTTTAATATAATTTTGTCTCTGGTTGATTATAGCATTATGGATCATAGGAAAATTGTAAGCATTGAAAAGAGTTTGAGTGTGCTTTAGAAATGCTGATCTTCTACACTTAGATTACACTTAAGCTTTAGCCATTTTTCTCAAGAAGGGATCCTCTAAGTACAAGTGAATGTAAAGCTCCTAGGTAGAGCATAGCTCTTTTGGTTTGGGGAAGAGAATGATGTGGTACTTCACAAACATGTTTCAAGTTTTAAACTTTTTAAAAAATTTTTGAGAGGCAGACACACACACACACAGAGAGAGAGAGAGAGAGAGAGAGAGAGAGAAATATGAATGCATCCATAGGCAGGTTTGTTCCCTAGATGCTTGTACACCGGGATTAGGCCCAGCCATACTGGGAACCAGGTCTTCTACATGAGTGGCAGGGACCCAGTTACTTGAGCCGTCACTGCTGCCTCCCAGGATCTGCATTAGCAGGAAGCTGAAGTCAGAAACCAGAGCCAGGAGTTGACTGCAGACAGTCTAATATGACATGCAAGTGTCTTAACTGCCAGGCTAAATTTGCTCAAGATAGGCCGAAATTGAGTCATCCATAAATTGGAAAAATTAAAAATCCTAAAACTCAGAAAAAATTAAAAATTCTAAAACTCAGAAACTACTCTAAAAATCAACAAAAGACAAAACGGATGCTTGAACCTTCAAATATTCATGATTTGCTTTCAACCCATTTCCTAATCACCAGTTTTTGTTAGAATGAGGAATTATTTAGAACAAGGGAAAACTGAAACCATGCTTATGAGGCTGTGTTTGTCAAAACTTATAGATGAATTGAGGAAAAGAAAAACTGTCTTACAGAAGTGTGGTGCTTGGCCTCATGGTTTGGATACTGTTTGGAATGTCTGCATCCCTCATCAGAGTGCCGAGGTTACATACCTTGCTCCTGAATCCAGCTTCCTGCCTTTGTGCACCCTGGGAGGTGGCAGTGATGGCCCAAGCTACTGATCCCTGCCAGCCACATGGGAGACCTGGATTGGTTCCTGGCTCCCAGCTTCAGTCCTAGCTGGAGGCTGTTGGAGACATTTGAGGAGTCAAAAAGCAAGTGGGAGCTCTCGCTCTCATGTCTGTCCCTCTCTTCTCTTTACCCCCTCTTTTCCCTCCTTTTCCTCTCAAGTAAGAAAGATAAAGAAGAATTAATAATAATAAAGGAGGCCAAAGGCCAAAGAACCTTCATGCAGGGCTCTGTCCTCCCAGGGTTTCCAGCCTAACACCTACACCCCTCAGGGAAGGAAAAATAGCCAGAAAACCATTGATAACAAACTATCACAACTTGACAGTTTCTCATAGATGACCACATGTCTAGAAAGATCTGTCACAAACAGAAGTGGCCCCTCATGATTTCGTCACTATACACATTGAGGATTCCTTGAACATTTTCCTGAATGTCAGCATTATCATAAGCTACAGGAGTTTAATAGGGAGAAGTTTGATCTTCCCCCTAGTTGGTTTTGGATACGCCATGGATTTGTCCATGCTCTCAAACATTATTTTGGTGTCACTGCACATGACAGTACAGGCAATAAGCCAATGACCATGGCATTGTTAAGACTTCAAGAAAAAGATCCCTTTCATCCCAGAAATTCTCTGCCTGATATTGTAAAACTTGTCACCTCCCCTCCCCAGGGACCAGCACCTGTAAGCATTAAGATGGTGTTTGTCATCTGAGCATGTTAGGCTCCTAAGAGGAACTGTAAAAACATTTTTTAACCCCTATACCCACTCTCAAAGATCTTGATTTAATTGGACTGGGGTTCGACCTGGCCATCGTACTTTCTGAATACAGGGAGTTTTAATATTAAAAATCACTGCCACAGGGAGAACACAAGTGTTCTGTGGAATCCCTACTCTCACAAATGTCTTCATCATTTACTCTCTCCCAGGCTTTGTGACACTGCTCTAAAATTAACAGACGGCAGAAGAAAATACAACGATGACCTCATTAGTGTGGTTGTCTGTGGCTCTGAGTGGCACCATAGATCCGTCCTGTTCAGCTCTGCACAGTCCCCCACACTACAGGGGTTATACAGATTCACTTCTTATGATTGCTCTGTAAATTTTACTGACTGGTGTTTCACAATCCAAGTCCCAACCAAAGTTCGAAGAGAAATAAAAACCTGTGTGTTAATTTTTTGAAGTGTGTTCATTTTACACCATCTTCTAGAATATTTCTATTTTCTACATCACATTATTTTGGTCAGTTCATGAAGCACTTGTCTTCTAGATTATACTATGTAGCCTGTACCAATTGTGTGATGCCTACAGATAGTATTAGCAGTGTACAAAGGTTAGGATAATTCTATTTGAATTGGTTAGTTGAAAACAGTACAGCATGGACAGGCATACTGTTAGGTTTTCTCCCCAAATTTGCACACAAATCAAGAATTACCCTATGGTGACTATAAAAAAAAAAGTGAGGAAGTAGGTACAGTCTAGGCATTCTAGACAGAAGCAAATATGGCCTTGTTCCACAGAGAAGAAGCACAGAAAGTTCCAAAGTTACAGGACCTCTATGGTACTCTACCACTCCACACTCACTTCTAATAATAAGTAATAGAAATGAGCAAAAATGAGCCTCAGTCTTACATGAGAGTCTTGTAATCTCTCAGAATCCTAGAGAAGAAAACCCAATTTTTCTAGGGATAATTATCAAACACAACGGTCTGCTGTTTTCCTTTCATTTCCATAGTTCAAAGATCTTGAGACTTTGAAAGAGTAATATAATCGCTGGAGAAAAGATGTAACTTTTCCCACACTATCATGAAAAAATATTTCCTTGAATTAAGTGGAACTAATTTAGAAAGTCGAATTTTAATTATGAAATTAGTGGACCCTCAAAATGTGATGGGATTGCCTGTATTTTCCAAATGATATGTCTTAGGTGGAATATGAGCAGATCTAAAGTTGGTATTTCCTTCATACGTTTACTTGAATATTTCAGTGCCAGTTTTGGCTTAGGCCTGTTAGTTAAGAAGGAATTGGGGCCGGCGCCGCAGCTCACTAGGCTAATCCTCCGCCTTGCGGCGCCGGCACACCGGGTTCTAGTCCAGGTCAGGGTGCTGGATTCTCTCCCGGTTGCCCCTCTTCCAGGCCAGCTCTCTGCTGTGGCCAGGGAAGTGCAGTGGAGGATGGCCCAAGTGCTTGGGCCCTGCACCCCATGGGAGACCAGGATAAGTACCTGGCTCCTGCCATCGGATCAGCGTGGTGCACCGGCCGTGGCGGCCATTGGAGGGTGAACCAACAGCAAAGGAAGACCTTTCTCTCTGTCTCTCTCTCTCTCACTGTCCACTCTGCCTGTCAAAAAAAAAAAAAAAAAAAAAGGAATTGGGGCAGCAGGCAACCTCACTATGGGAAATTAGTATCTTTTTTATGTCTCCAAAATCATTAAGCAGTTCACTCAGAGTGGTTCTGTAAGATTCATTAAGTAGGCTACATGGAACTCTAGCAGGGAAATGTGTGAAAGAGATATTAAAGACTTAAAATTCAATGATAAACATTGCTATCTGCACTATGTGAAAAACACATAAAAATACTTCTTAAATGTATCAACAAGGTAAGGAACAAAACAAACATTAATGAGTTCTTACCTATTAAGTGGATAAAATTGAACATTTTCCCTTTTAATTTTTATTCATCATTTTATAAACTGCTAATAAAGAAAATGATCCCTCTAAAATTTGCATGTCATTTCGTTTGATTAGCTCTTTCTAAATTTAACCCATCAGCAGGTGCACATATTTCCTTGGCATTGCTGGTGTGTCATGTTGGTTCTGCAAGAGTAATTGAGTTTTGGAATTACCTTTTTAAGTTCTGGCCCACACTATACCGCAATGAAAAACCATTCTTTTGGCCTGAATTGTGAGAGTAAACATTGGACTTGGACGTTTTAAATTCCATACTTGAGAATCTTCAGCTGATTTTATTTGGTGTCTGCTGGTGTCCGAGCGGACACTTGAATCCTGATTCCAGGCTTGGAGCTCTTTTCTAATCCCACAGCTCTTCAGGATGCTGCAGGCAAGACTGCCAAGAAGACTGACAAATGGCAGATGAAGTGCTGATTGTATCCATAGTAGAAATGTAATTATTAAGAGAAATAAAAGTTATTTAATGGGAACGTCCCAGAAAGTAACAACACAGAGGAAGTTGCTTAAACAAAGTCGGTGGGAGAGAAACATTTCTGGCAGTGCTTTGCTTCCTCATGACCGCCTGTGCTTCTCATTCCAGCACTGTTTAACCTCATCCCTGTGGGACTGCGCGTCGTTGCCATCCAGGGAGTGAAGACAGGGTTGTATATAGCCATGAATGGAGAAGGTTACCTCTACCCATCAGTAAGTACCTGCCAAAAATACTGGCCCTTCCTTCACTGTTGCTTATGTAGTGATGGTGGTAGCCAGATCCAGAAAGTTCTGTGTTTGTGGCTTCTGCCACGCTCTCCGTGGAGTTTGGTCATTAATAAATGCCACAGGAGCTATGTGTTCCTTACTCATCACTGCTAGCATGAGCATATCTAGAAGAGCAGCAGTAGTATGTCTTTAATTGCATATTGATTGTATTTTTTAAAACAACCCATTTTGCAGAAAACTGATCAGTTTTGAAAGAATTCATGTTAATATAGGTTTTGTTTTTATATATAAATGCACTTAGATAATTTATTGCCAAAAATTTACACACATTTTCTTCTTTGTCCATTTGTTCTTAATTGACAAGTAATATCTGTGCATATTTATGGGGGTTTAGTGTTTAGCTTTCTCCTCTCTGGGTCTATGAGATGTACTTTTTCAGATTCCATATATGCCAAGTGACCTTACTTGTAGACAGAATCTAAAATTTTTTGTAAATGAGACACTGAGAATTCTAAAAAAAATGCAAAAGGTAATAGGATTTAAATATAAGAATTCATATGTGTAGATATTCTACTGGAGAAATAACTGTAACATTGAAAAGAATATCTTATGCAAATCTCAGTAACTCTGTTTTGTGTTAATGCTTATTAGAAACCCAGCACTTCTCTACCCATATGATCTTTTCTGGAATATGTTCTATTTACAAATAGTTCTTATTCAAACATCTGTAACCATACATTATAATTTAGAGTTAATTTCTACTACAGGTCCAAGCAAGGATGACTTAGATGAAGGTATTTCTTTCCACTATTTTTGGAGTGCTTATTGATGCAGTCTTAATGCCTTGAAATATACTCTTAAGTGGGTTTGAATGTCATCTTTCCATAAATTCTTTAAAACTTGGTGATTATTATGTATCAACAATAAAATCCTACACATAGATATATGGTTATGCATACATATGTAAGAATATGCATGCAGGTATATAAATGTATATATATATATGCACAAGGCATCTTCAAAAAGGACAGGGAAAGTGCATATTGTATAAAAATTATGCATGAACTTAAAGTCTGCACCAACATAAACTTGTCTCTTAATTCCATTTTCCACAAGCTGTTTGAAGTCCCTGCATATATTCCTTCTCTGGGGTAATTCCCAAGAAATGTGATCTATTTTCTTCAGCAAGCCTGGGAAATCCTATCACAGAGAGAAGGCCAGGGGCAGATTCCCTTCTGGTGAGCTGAAACAGCCCAAGGGCCCTCGCCTTATCTTTCCCCTGAAGGGTGTCCCTGCAACAGAACTGGGTCTGACATGATACAGATTGTGTCCTGTTGTTCAAGATGAATATGCATGGCGTGGTGAACAAGATCCAGCTGAAACTCGCAAGGTCTTTGTGATTAAAAATCCGATATAGATCCAGCATCATTTTCTAGAGATGGCTTATTTCAGATACAAGTCACTTTCGTCGACTGGGCATTTGTTTTGGTTTATCTCTGTTCCCCACCACTACCACCAGAGTAATCCTTGAGAGGACTAGAATGATCAGGTACAGTAACTGCCATAGCTTCTTAGTGTCTTTCTGTTGGTGATTTTACCACACTGGACTCTGCACAACAGTTGATGCCAGGGGAAATTCAAAGATTTATCTTTTGGCTTCTGCAGCAACACATTTCACTTATTGTCATGAGGTTATATGTTATTTGCTTTTAAAAGTAGGTCCATCATTTTGAGGATGTGTCTGCCTAGAATAAAATATTGGTTGTGTTCAGTACAGCTGATACAGCGCAGCGGGGATAGAAGCAAGGCAGGTGCTAACTGCCCTGTGGGAATCCCAGTGACTTAAAGGAGGTCTCGGGAAACCGGCTGTGGGAATTGGCTGCGTCTGCCCAGCATGAGTCTCAGGCTTACTTCCTGCTGCCTTGTTTTCTCTTCTCACCTCCCTGATTTTCCTGTTTGGCTTCTCGGATCTCTGTTGCTAACTCCAGTCTCTCCAAGAGATCTTGGTTTTCCCCTTTTGACTTGGTGTCTGGTAAGAGATGCTCTGTGTGCCTAGCTCCAGCTGAGAGACAGATCCCTCTGCCCAGCCCTTACCCTGGGGCATCTCTTCTGCCCAGGCCAGGCCCTAACAATCCCTCACCATTGTGTGGCAAAAGAACTTAGAGGTCAAAGGAAAGTGATTTTGAGTCTTTGTGAGTATTCCACAAAATGTTCTGTTTCTTTCATTGAGATGAAATTTTAACTTCAAATATTTCAATACAAAGAATGTTTTTCCATTTTCACTTACTCCATAATTAGTGACTGGGTGTCTACTAAAATAACAAAGAATACAAAACAATTGTGACTATTAATCATAATAGCATATTCATATGACAATAGTAGGTGCCGATACTTGTATAGAACATGCTGCTAGCACTATGCTATGCGCTTTCCATGAATCAGCTCATTGATCCTCCCAATAGCCATCTTCTATAAAGCAAACAATTAAAATGAGGATGCATGCAGAGTTTACAATCTGCCAATGTGTCTTAGGTGATAGATAGAAAGGAGGAGGCTTGAGCACACTTAGTGTGACTCATTAGCTTACATTTTAACTGCTTTACTATGCTGCTTCTATGTGCCAGACATTTCTCATAGGATGGTCTGGCACCTGTTCTCACAAGAAGTTAGAAGCGTGTGATGATGTAATGAAAACCTTTAGGGAATTGTTACCAAGGGAGTCAACTTTATTTCAGGGCAATTATTAAGAAGCATAATTTGAAACCTAATGTGTTTCATTTGGAGACTTTTAAATAAGTGACACAAAATATATTTGTTAGGGGGACTTTGATATCACGTAATGGGTGTTTAATGTTCTTGAACTTCATTACACTTAATATTTGCACTTTAAATTGCAAAAGCCCTGACAAACATGGTTAACCCAAGTATGAAGTTTTGAACTAAGTTGAATATTTTTTAAAAGATTTATTTTATTTATTATTTGTTTATTTGAAAGGCAGAGTTACAGAGAGAGGTAGAGACAAAGATCTTTCATCTGTTTGTTCATTCCCCAAATGACCAGACTGGGCCAGGCCTAAGCCAGGAACCAAGAGCTGCTTCCAGGTCTCCCACTTGGGAGCAGAGTCCCAAACACTTGGACCATCATTTACTGCTCTCCCAGGCTTATTAGCAGGGAGTTGGATGGGAAGTAGAGCAGCTGGGACTCAAACTGGCACCCATGTGGGATGCCAGCACTGCAGGTTGGGGCTTTAACCCACTGGCCCCAAGTTGAATGTTTTGTTTGTTTGTTTGTTTGTTTTTATTTTTTTTTTTTTTATTTTTGACAGGCAGAGTGGACAGTGAGAGAGAGAGACAGAGAGAGAAAGGTCTTCCTTTGCCGTTGGTTCACCCTCCAATGGCCGCCGCTGCAGCCGGCGCACCGTGCTGATCCGATGGCAGGAGCCAGGATCCAGGTGCTTTTCCTGGTCTCCCATGGGGTGCAGGGCCCAAGCACCTGGGCCATCCTCCACTGCACTCCCTGGCCATAGCAGAGAGCTGGCCTGGAAGAGGGGCAACCGGGACAGAATCCGGCGCCCCGACCGGGACTAGAACCCGGTGTGCCGGCGCCGCAAGGTGGAGGATTAGCCTATTGAGCCACGGCGCCGGCCCTGTTTGTTTGTTTTTTAAATGACAACTCCAGGCAGGCTCACATCTAAAGAAAAGAAGCTGAGAAAGATTTAAGCCTGGGAAACGAAATCCTCTGTTTTACATTTACAGCCACTTTAAAGAAAATCTTAATGTTTTTGTAGCATAAAGTGGTGTCTGCTATGGGGCTGATTTCTTTGAGGGCCTGTAGATATAGAATGTAGGCAACAAAACAACCAGATCTTTCAAAGTCAAATCTATCGAATGACTATCGCAGCTGTGATTCCTCTGCCTGTGGTCCATGAAGTAGTTCTCATAATCTGTTGCTAGGCAAATGAAGATACTCAAAGTGTCAGATAATTCCATTCTGGGGGTGCAAAGATTATCATTTTGACTGAGATGTGAATAAATAATCATATCTCTCACAGAAGTTGCTCATTCCCTGTGGATGCTTTTGCACAGAATGTCAGTAGTGATTTCCTTTGTGGTCAAAATGATTATAACATGCTAATTAAGGTATTCCAGAGAGATTTAATGTCAGATGGAGACTGTCTGCTTGAAGGTGGAATTCAGGCTGCCAGGTCACAACAGAAACCAGCAAATATTTTCGTTCAAGAATTAGACAGTTAAAGTGACGTGTTAAAAAAGATGATTTTTTTTAAACTCTACACTACTTATAGTGCTGACAGAAGAACAGTTAATATTTTATTTTTCAAGGCCTGCGCCGTGGCTCACTAGGCTAATCCTCCGCCTGCGGCACCGGCGCCCCAGGTTCTAGTCCCAGAGGGGGCGCCGGATTCTGTCCTGGTTGCTCCTCTTCCAGTTCAGCTCTCTGCTGTGGCCCGGGAGTGCAGTGGAGGATGGCCCAAGTGCTTGGGCCCTGTACCTGCATGGGAGACCAGGAGGAAGCACCTGGCTCCTGGCTTCAGATCGGCACAGTGTGCCGGCCATAGCAGCCATTTGGAGGGTGAACCAACAGAAGGAAGACCTTTCTTTCTGTCTCTCTCTCTCTCACTGTCTAACTCTGCCTGTCAAAAAAAATATTTAACTTTTCCAAACAACCATTGACTTTGAGAGACTAAGAAAATTCTCCATTAAAAATCAAGGTCTGGAAGGTAAATTCTAAACACTAAAGGAAAACATGGAAAGAAAGCAAAGTGTCACTCATGCTCTGTACTGCAACAAAGAGCACTGTTGTGTTTGTGTTGAGAGAGGGGAAGGGGGAAGGAGATGATAGCAGCATGGGGGAGTCCTGGGCTCCACCTGCACCCTGGAGCCACATGCAAAGCCTGCCTCACAAGTTCCAGGTCCCTGGGGTCTGCCTTCACATCTGCAAAGCTACAGGGTTTCCCTTGAGGGCA